GACTCGACTCTGCTTGAACAATGCCTCACTGCCTCCTGAAGCGGATGGGGTATCACGGTGGAACTTTGTCGTGTACTCGATGACGAAAGAAAGCTCCTGGCAAATGAGTTGCCAAGGGGTTGTCGAGGTACATCTAAGTCAGCAGACAGACCAGAAAGGAGAGGAAGGAGAGGAGGCAGAGGTGAAGCACTATCAATCCCAATGGGACAAGCGAGTCACGGAGTGTACCATCCAAGTCCCAGCCTCAAAGTTCTACGACCACCTTAAAAAGCATGGCTTCCACTATGGCCCCTCAACGCAAGGCATGAAGACCATCCAGACTGATGGAGTTGGCACCGCTTTGGCGACACTCAATCTAGCACAGCCATGCCTATCATCTCCAGAGATGGACGAGTACCCCTTCCACCCGGCATCACTCGATGCATTCCTGCAACTTAGTTTGGTGGCTCAGAACCGAGGAACTATGAAAGGAATGCCAACGCAGGTGATCTCGGCTATTGATCGGTTATGGATCACTGGGAAGGGATGGACCGATATGGTTGCCAGAGGTCAGGACGTCGTCTCCGCAGCCATGCAGATTGAAGTTGACGGTCCCCGAAACAAGTCTTATAATGGATATGTTCTATCCCAAAAAGCGGACGGCCAAAGTCCTCAATTAATCCTAGATCGACTCGAGACGACGGCAGTGTCTTCCATAGACAGCGAGGTCATTGGCAATTTCCAAACTGCAGTTTCTCCGTCCAACGACCATGGAGATGATGGCAAGTCATGGTACACAGTGAAGACGGACCTGGCGATGTCAGCTAGCACGCCAGGAAATATATTACAGTACCTGGAAGACCAGTGCGGCGTTGACCCTCCTGGTCCGAGAGAGTTCTTCCGCAATGTGCGCCAATACCTGACACTTCAAATGCAGAAGATTTGCGACACCCTAAACCCATCCAAAATCCCTGCCAAGCCGCATCTACAGCGATACGTCGCCTGGATGAAATGGCAATTAGCCCAACAAGGTCACTTGACGGCACGGGGTATCATGAACGCAGAGGAAGAGGCGAGTTTGCACCGCCAGATTGCGGCTCAAGGCCGTCTGGGAAACTTCTACCTGACCGTGGCCGACCACGCCCTTGGGGTCCTTCATGGAGAAGTTGATGTTGTACAGCTGCTATTTGAGAGCAACCTAGTCAATGACTTCTATCAGGCCTATGAGTCCTCTGTCTCGATCTATTTGAAAAAGGTCGAACGCTATGTCGCCACAATGGCTTTCAATCGCCCTGACATGGATATCCTGGAGGTCGGCGCCGGCACGGGCTCCTTCACTGACCATGTGCTAAATGGGATCTGCTTGTCGGGGACAAGTTTGAGATCTTACCAGTACACTGATATCTCCCCAGCTTTTTTTGACCGGGCCCAGCAGCGACTTGCATCCCATCCTCATGGCCGCCGCATTGTGTTCCAAATTCTGGATGCAGAACAGGATCCCCTTGAGCAGGGTTTCACGGAGAACATGTACGATCTTATCGTGGCCTCTAATGCGCTACATGTTACCAGAAACCTGGAGAAAACCTTGACAGCCCTCCGCCGTCTACTTCGACCGGGTGGTCAACTCATACTGCACGAAGTGACCCGTCCAGATAATATTGAAGTAGGATTCTCGTTCGGCTTGCTGCCAGGCTGGTGGCCGGATGCGACAGATGATCGTCCGATGAGTCCGGTCGTCAACGAAGCCAGATGGGACCAGATCATGCGGGCTAGTGGATTTGTCGGCGCGGAAATAGTTCTTCGTGACTATGCAGACAAAGAAAGCCACCTGATGAGCGTGATAGTTGCCACTGCTGGAGAGACGCAGAAGCAGACTGAAATTCTGTCTTCGTCTCCCTCTCCTTCATCCCACGTTGACATTGTATTAGTCGTTGAGCCTTCCTCCCCGCTGCAGAGCGACTTGGCCAACCGCTTGATGGACGTTCTCGCTGCAGAGGAATCGGCGTACCGTCCCCGTGTCGTGATGTACCCGCAGACAACTCCCCCAGGATCGGTGATTATTAGTCTACTTGACCTGGACAACATATCGTCAATCTTGGGACGACTTCACGGCGAAGAAAACTTTGAGCGTCTGAAGGCCCTGCTCCTCGGGGCACGAAAGGTACTTTGGTTGACCGGTGATGATGAGCGCCATCCGAGTTTCGGCATGATAGATGGCTTTGCTCAGGTGTTTCGCATTGAGAATCCACAGATTCCCTTGCAGATATTGCACATGGATGCAGCCTCAATGGCGTCGTCTGAAGGTCTCAAGTCTTTAGAGGCGACGCTGAAAGTCGCCCTAACTCAGCTGATGATGACTAGGCCATCCCCCAATTGCCGGGATGACTACAGTATCAAAGGCAACCAGGTATATGTTCGTCGAATTCAGGATGACCTTCCATTGAAGCGTGATATTAAAGAGAATTTGAACGGCTCCCAGACAACATCTGAGCGCCTAGGGGATATTCGGCCGTTTGCGGTACGTTGGCCACAGGAGCTTACTTCTGGTGGCAATGCTGAAATTGCATGTCCCCCTCAAGTTGATGTGGAATGTGCAAAACTATCTCAGGCTCTTGGGCCGGACGAGGTGGAAATCGCAGTTCATGCCGTGCGACTTGATGATCAACTTGGCCGGATCCGACAATGCGCGGGACGCATTGTCCAGGTTGGTCGCAATAGTCCGTTCTTGGTCGGTGACAGGGTCTGCGGTGTCTACTATAGCAGCAGTATCAGCAATGCCGATGATGACGACGATACTCTGACCTCCACTGTTCGCACGCACAAATCTCTGGTGGCTCGCATTGACAGCTCGTTGAGCTTTAATGAGGCAGCTGTTCTACCACAAAGGTATCTCGCCGCGGAGTATATTGTCGGCTTGATGTCATCGTTTGCCGGGAGTTCTCCAGCAGTCATTATTCATGGAGCCCACACGGGCATTGCCAGAGTGGTGGTAGATCTGATGGCGGGTCGATTCTCTAGGCTTTTGCTTACTGTTCCTTCTGACTCGAACTGTGAGACAGATGAAATCTGGGAACAGGCAAAGAATGACGAGTCCGTGTCTGTGTCCACGTATGCCTCGTTTCTAAGGAAACTCCGGTTTCCTGGCCCTGGAGATGGTGCAGATATTGTGCTGGACTTTGTCGACTCGGATCTCTTAGATCTAGCCGACCAGGTAGCACCCTTTGGAGCAGTCATTCGTGTTCTCGACGGCGATTCTTGCTTTGCATTTTCTAATCCTCAGAAGCTGTGCATACCAACCAACATGTCCTTGCATACTGTCGACGTGGCCCAGCTCTTGCATCGTCAACGTCCGCGGCTGCGGATGCCATCTGCCGTGGTGGCGCCGACAGCAATCCGAACGGCAAAGACTACGTCTGACTCGGTCAAGCTCTCCACCCTGCTGAACCAGTCTTCGAGAGATACGAGAAGGAAACAAATTACGATCGAATTTGATGAGGACGATGTTGTTCCGGTAAGTAATGCCTCTTTAATACCTCATTCACTTTTCTGTCAAGTACGAGCTTAATTCGTGATATTCTAGATTCGCAAACCTCGTCAGCCTGCTTATTCATTCGACCCAAATGCAACATACCTCCTTGCTGGGGGTTTGGGAGACCTGGGCAGATGCGTAGCCCAATGGATGGTGCGACGCGGTGCGCGATATCTGATTCTCCTATCACGCTCCGGGCCGCGAAATGAAGCAGCCCTAAGAATGATTGAAGAGCTAGAAGCCAGAGGCACCACAGTCTATGCACCAGCCTGCGACATCATAGATATGACAGTGCTACAGCGTGTACTGGATGAGTGCAAACAGACGATGCCCCCAATCAAGGGATGCATCCAGATGACAGGAGTGTTGCGAGACGTGATGTACGACCGCATGACCTTCGCGGACTGGCAATCTTCCGTCCAACCCAAAGCTTCCGGTTCCTGGAACTTGCACACTCTTCTACCTCGCGGCCTTGACTTCTTCATCCTCGCTGCCTCCCTGACTGGACTAATGGGCCAGGCTACCCAGATCAACTACGCAGCTGGCAACTCCTACCAGGACGCGCTGGCACGTTACCGTCTCTCGCAGGGCGAGCAAGCAGTATCTCTAGACCTAGGCGTCCTGGAGACCAAAGGACTCCTCACGGACGCTTCAGGACTCTTTGATCGGTTTCTCTCCACTAAATTCCACTACATGCTCCGGGAACCCGATATTCTGGCCATGTTCGAGCATTTCTGCAATCCCACTCTTCCCATTGAGGAACTGCCCGCTCAGGTCGCCACGGGGTTCATGCGTCCCTCGCTGCATAAGCAGCTGAACATGCAACTCCCCGTCACATTAGATCAGCCATTCTGGAAGCAGATATTTGTTTCCACAAACGCAGATGATGACTTCGACAAGCAACAACCTCGCGATAGCAACAGCACCTCCTCTAATAACCAACCGGAAAATCACCTCGACCTGCACAGCGCGCTATCCGCTGTCGCCACCGGGACAAATGATACTGTCAAGTCCACCACCACGGAAGTCCTGACCACCATCGCCACGGAGGCCCTGGCCGAGCGGTTCTGTCAGATGGTTCTGATGCCTCGGGCAAAGTTGAACGTAGAAGAGCCGTTTCATCGGGCCGGAGCTGATTCCTTAACGGCGGTAGATCTACGAAACTGGGTTCTGAAAGAGGCCGGGGTCGATTTGCCTGTCTTCGATATCTTGGGAGAACTACCGGTTTGTGCGTTGGGGAGGATGGTTGCGCGAGAATGGGCAGTGGTTCATATAAATTGAAGGTTTTATGATGAGGTGAATACATGAACTAAAAAGCGTTACGTCTTTGGCAACGCCAGTCCATCATCATCTTCTCTCTACCTCGAACAAGGTACATCCAAAATCCTTCTCAAATATCGCAAACAAACTTCAAAAGAAACGGTCCTGCAAATCAGGACAACAACTAACACATTAAAAGACACAGAAAAACCCACAACCCAACAACAACTCTCTACTCATCAACCCTCCCATCCTCCTCACCAACCACACCCCCATCCGGAACCTCCTCATTCGCCAAATTCGACAGCAAGCAAACATACATATATCCGCCTACGACATGAGCCAACTCCGCCACCTTCTCCCTGCCCAGGGCAGCCACTGCAGTCTTGAAATCCTCCGTGGAGATGGGGCCCCTCGACCGCGCCATTGCCAATGCTGCCATATAGGCAGCCTGCTCAGCGTCAGATAACCCGGCAGGAGGCTGCTGGTGTTGTCCCTGCAGCGCCTGGGCGATCTGCTCCTGGGAGAACCCTGCAGCGCGGGCACTGTGCGAATGGGCGTACTGGACATAGGGCGCCCTGTGTTCAGCTAAAGTAGCGAGGATGGCGAGCTCCTTCTCGCGCGCTGTGACGTGGGGTTGAGACCCGATGGAGTAGGCGAAGGAGAACCAGGGCTTGATTATGGAGGGAGTGTAGCTGGTTTAGGTGGTTAGTTTGATGGGGGTTTGTGGTCGAGAGAGGTCAAAAGAGAGGATGTGTACGTACTACAGAGGAGAGTAAGGGCCCAGAATGACACCCGAGGAACCCTGCCATTGTACTTCGGGAGGCAGATGAGAGAAGATGCGGCGAGCACTGGGCTCGACCAGGCTCTGCTCGGCGGTCTGTTGATCTGGAGGAATGACAGGGAAGCGAGACATTGTCGTGGGGTCTTGGGGGTCAGTATGAAAGTCAACGTAGAAGAAAGAACTGGTAGTAGTAAAGAGATTGAGGGAAATAGAGATGATGGAGACCTCGATTCCAGCAGGTGTCCTGGGCCCTCTTTATATAGCATTGGGCGGAGCAAGACCATCAGCCCCCAACTAGGGTTACTGATAGTAGTACTACATGAATTGGCCGATTGGTTGCAACTCACTGATGCAAGTCCGTTAGTGCTGCCATAAGATGCAAGTCGACATGAATAGATGGAGGTTGAGGAGGGGGCGAAGCAGTAGTAGTAAGAGAACTGATCCTCTTTCCGGTGGTATAAGAACCCTAACATCCCCCTTCTCACCTCCTCGTCCTCCTCCATCTTCTTTTATCCTCCCCCACTCCCTCCTACTATCTATAGTACTCAGCTCTTCCTATCATACCCATTATGGCGTCCCCATCTCCTCTGAAGATAGTTATCGTAAAAGAACCCCCTCCCTCTTATATCCCTAAGTCAAACCACTAACCAATCACCCAGGTCGGCGGCTCCCTCTCAGCTCTAATGCAAGCCATAACCCTCCACCAACAAGGCCACACCATCCAAATTCTCGAACAAAGTCCCACTCCCACCCCGCCTTCCCACATGGCCGGCGTCAGCATCGGTCCCGACGTCCTAGCTTTCCTCTCACGCTACGACCGCGTCTCCCACATTCCGCTAGGAATCCCAGCCACTCAGCTCCAAAGCGTAGACCACGCAGGCCAACCGCAGCCCTTCCTTCGCATCCAGCGAACCATGACCTCCTGGGATGCATTGTATTTCCGCCTTCGTGCCAACTACGACGGTCTAGCCAGCGACTACATCCCTAACCCTCCAGACCCCCTCCCTACCTTCCCAGATGAATTCCCAAGTGAGGCACGATCCCGCGCACGATACGACTATGGCCAGCGAGTCATCGACATATCCGAGATTCCATCAACAGGACAGCTAGCTATCGTCACAGAGAGTACCAGCAGCAGCAGCAGCAATAGCACAAAAACGACAACAACAACAACAACAACAACAACAACAACAACAACACACACAGCAGATCTAGTCCTCGGCGCCGACGGGCCCCGCTCCATCGTCCGCCAACTCTTCCTACCCCAATCTCCTCAATCTGCCACCACCAACATTGAAAACCACCGCAAATACGCCGGCTACCTCGCCTGGCGGGGCATCATCCACGAAAGCCAAGTGCCACCCACAACCCTCTCCCTCTTCTCATCCAACATGACCTACAACATCCGGAAACACCCCACCCACGGCTCCCACATCATCGTCTACCACATCCCCGGACCCAACGGCTCCATCGTCCCGGGAACCCGCTACCTCAATCTCTGCTGGTACCAGAACGTCGCCGCGGAGGACCTCCCCACACTCATGACCGACATGCACGGCGTGCGCCATCACACCACCGTGCCACGGGGCCTAGTGCCAGCGCGGATCTGGGACTCGCAACGGGCGCTAGCGAAAAACGTGTTGGATTTCCCAGAGCCGTATATGGAACTTCTGAGGATGATTGACGCGCCGTTTCTCCATTTGATTACGGATTACCCGCCGGCGGAGAAGACGAGGTTTTTGGATGGTAGGGTGAGATTGGTGGGTGATGCGGCGGTGTTTTTGAGACCGCATATTGCGTTTAGTACGAATCAGGCGGCGATGCATGCGCGGTGGATGGGGGAGTTGGTGGGGAGGGACGGGGTGGGTGGTGGTGCTGCTGCGGAGGAAGAGTGGGAGTATAGGGTTGCTAGGGCGGGAGAGTTGCATTGGGCGAGGAGTGTTTGGTTTGGTGAGTACTTTCAGAATCCGTCGCTGTTGAGTGCGGTCTGGCATGATGCGGTTAGGTATTGGTTGTTGGCGGCGAAGTACTGGGTTAGGTATTGGTGTGGGTGGGTGGATCGGCCGGTTGTTTGAAGTCATATACCATCTAGTTGTAGGGATTTAGATTAGAGGGAGAGGGTGCTTTGGTTGTGTCGTTGGATAACTGCAGCAGGTGGAATTAGTCTAGTATACGGTGTATAACAGGTATCACAGTTAGCAGCCTACATCTCGTGCCAATACGTACTTCAGGAACACCACTGCTACAGCCCTACTTCAAATCACTATCCGAGATTATCACGGTAGAGATTCATTGCGTCGTATTCATGCTAGTCTTGCTGAAATGGCAACACAGGGCCGGGGTTAACCTCCCCCAGCTGTGTTCTATAGTCATTCATGGAACATAATAAAAGATTTCGCCCAAGCACCTCTTCACTCTTACTCGCTGCTTATTTCACCGGGAACTTAATGCCCGAGGATGTAACCTGTTGCTCGCTGTACGTCATGGCTGGAGCAAAGGGCTGAACCCATTCCTTGATAACAGTCAGGAATGTGTCACGGACAGCCTCGACGGCTTGGTCTTGCGATGCTCCGCTACTTTCAATATAGACTAGAATCAAGATTAGCATTGCGCAATGGCTCTGTATGATTTTCGACGTACTTTTGACTTTGGGTTCTGTGCCCGATGCACGAATGGTGAATCTGACTTCCCGATCCAGCCATAGTGTCAGCATCTGGGTGCTCTTATCAACCGGAAGTGTGGGCGTGTGGTTCTCGGTTCCCGAGTCGTAACCCTCCGTCAGGTCTCGCCATCGCTGGATGTTGAAGGAGCCAAAGGACTTTCCGGCGCCGAACTGTCCAGATCTGATCTTTCGGAATAAGTCCATGGTGAGCTCTGGGTCCGTCGATCGGACGTAGGTGTTGAGAGTCTCGTGGTGCCCGTGTTCCTTAAAGAGTTGCTGAAGCTTCGTATATGGGGTGAGTCCTTGAGCATTCCATTTGGCTTGGGCTAGCAAGAACACCATAGCGGCGGAAATACCGTCCTTGTCGTAGCACACCTCCGGAAACATGTATCCAAGCGCTTCTTCAAAGGCGAATGGAACATAGTAGCCGAGTTCTTCGAGTCTTCGCGCGATGTTGCCCATCCACTTGAAACCGGTCAATGCTTCCTCGTAATGCATCCCCTTTGCCTTTGCCATTTTCTCCAACATGCACGTCGAGACGGTCGAGTTCAGCACGGCAATTCGTGTGTCGCTGTCGATAGTCTCCAAGGAATCAAACAAGTGCGATGCAAGCAGTACTCCCAAATGGTTTCCGGTGAAAGTGAACCACGATCCACTGCAGTTGGTTAGTGGGGTCCTTTATTGAAAGGCAGCGGATACATACTTGACCTTCTCAGCAGCCGCAAAGCGGTCTGCATCCGGATCATGTGCGATAATCAGTTCTCTGCCCTCCCGATCCGCGGTGCGCATTGCGAGATCCAAAGCTCCAACCTCTTCGGGATTGGGAAAAGCTACCGTGGGAAAATCGGGGTTCGGTTCTTCTTGTTCTGGGACGACAGTGAAATCTTTGATACCAACGGAACGGCACAAGCTGGGGAATACCAGGCCTCCTACGCCATGCAGAGGAGTGTACACAAATGGCTGTGGCTGCTTCCATTCCCGCACTGTGTATGTCTGCAAAGGGGTGAGCCCGTGTTACCAAAGCACAATGCATCTAGACTCACAGCGTATTGCCATACTGCTGTGTTGTAGTGTGGCAGGAGATTGTCGTACGCCTTGGGGCGCAAATATTCACCGGGCTGCAAATCTTTCCAAGCGTTGGGCCAGGGTGTCAAATTCTCCTCGATAGATCGAGCTATCTCCACATCCATGGGGGTATTGATCTGGGCGCCATTTTTGAAATAGCTGGAGCATGTTAGTGATAATCAAAACAGGCTGGATGAGCGCAACCAGACACTTTGTAACCTGTTCACCACGTCCGTCAGTGATACGGTCCGGCTGTCGAGGAGCAAGCCATGGCAACCTACCATTATCTTGTGCTGGATTCTAGGGCAGGATTAGCCACATGATCTCTGAATAGACAGACAGGGATGCCTTACATGGCTTGCCGTAACCATGATGCCTGCAGCAGCATGCAGTTGGGTTACACCGAAAGGCACCGTCGGCGTAACAGAAGGTTCGGAGTAGAACCAGACCGGGATCCTCTGTGCGATGAAAGCATTTGCGGCCAGAGCGGCGAACTTGGCGGAATTGTAGCGGGCATCATGGCCAATGACGACGCCATAGGAGGCAATATCACCATGGTGCTTCTTCAAGTACATCGCCAGACCCTGCGATGCCTGAATAACAGTCAAAGAGTTCATGCAAGAGAAGCCCGCTGCCATGCGACCCCGGAGACCAGCGGTGCCAAATTGGATTCCTGCAGTTTATGCGGATTAGACATGACAGGCAGGGGAGCGTAAAGAGCCTAAATTCGGTACGAGAAGATCAGATGAAGCATGTCTCGAGCCCACACGTACTCTTTTGCAGGCGCTGCTGCAACTCCGCCAGCTCTCCTGCATCGCGCAACCGCTCAATTTCCCCGCGAGTAGAGGCATCCTAATAGGGTTGGACATTAGCGGTGAGACTTGTGGAAGGTTGATGAGGAAAGCGCATGAATAAGAGTATTGAGCAACAGCAACACCTTCACCACCACCATTACTATGGGGAGGGGGAGTTAAAGGTTAAAGCCGGGCTGGGCGGATCGGAATCTGACAAATGTAGGGGACTTACTTGGTCCCACTCAAGCCATTTTTGGATCAGCGGAGAGAGGGAATCCTGTCAGAAAGAACCAAGCGGACCGAGTCAGAACATCCACACTACTTTTCTGCCCCTATCGATTTAGATAGAGGAGTGGTGTAGCCGCGCACACCGGGAGTTGACTATACCTCTCCTGGGTTGGCGGCCATGTTGGATCATACGACGCTGACAACTGAACTGGGGGAAGAGGACGGATGGTGGAGGGGGGCGGAGGGAGGGACTCGCGGATCAGAGCTTGGGTTTTGGGGGGGTAAGGAGGAGAAGGGGAGGAGAGGAAGAGTCTGGGGAGGGAAGTGCAAAAGAGGCGGTGGGAAGGGAATTAAAGAAGGGGAAGAAATGAAACTAAGAATAAAATAAAGGCAAGAAAGCAAGCTGGAGATTGAAGCTAGGAAGTAATAATAATAAGTCAGTGATGATGGTGGTGGTGGTGATGATGATGATGATGGAACGGGGAATGAATGGGCGAGACGGAGACAGAAATGTGGGTGGAATGACACTCGCTGGATCGGGTGACGATCGCCGGCACGTTTCACCTTCGCGTCCCCGCTTTTTCTATTAGTAGTAGTTCCATCTTCATCCTGTCCTTCGACCTCCATCTGGTCTCTTTCTCTCGGTCTCTGGATTGTATCACCTCATTCCACTACCCCCTCTAATCTTCCCCCCCCTACTAGGTCTTTGCACTATACGATGCCCCCTTGGGCTGATCCTTCACCCTCTTTGTAACCACCCCCTGTCCCCGATCCCTTGGTTGGAATTACACAGGTACCTGTTGCAACTGTACCATGGTCACCGCTCCTTCTACCTCCGCGGCCCGGAAGGACACCATTCTGTCCCGAAGGTATATCGAGGGCCTGATTTCTGAAGGCAAGCATGTTATCATCTTCGACGGTCGCGTACTCAGGGTCGATGCGTGGATTCCCTACCACCCTGGAGGAGACAAGTCCATCAGGCACATGGTTGGGAAAGATGCCACCGATGAGATCAACGCGTATGTAGCCCCCATGAACCCCGGGAGGCCCGGATGCGAATAGACCGTTGACTCCGACTTTTCTCTGCTACAGGTTACACTCCAAAGAAGCGCGCCAGCGAATGTTGTCCTTTCAGATCGGTCGCATCGAGGGCCCATGGGTAAACTTCCTGCCACCCATCCAGGGCGGAAAGTTTCGTCCGTATACCGAGGATTGTCTGTCCGATGAAGAGAGCTCTGGTCCAGAGAGTTCCGGTCAAGAAACGTCACAGCCGCCATCCCCGATCTTTGATGCTGTCGATAGCACGTCAGGCGCTCGTCAGCGGAAACCTGCGCCCGCAACCCCAGCCTCGGCCGCCAAAAGCGAAGAGATCAAACCGAAACCTTTCTTTCTCGATGCGCGCACGCAGGAGGAACTAGTCTTCGATACGGCCAAATACCCCTCGCTAGATTTGGACAACCAGGAGAAGATCAAGCAGCGGTATCGTGAGCTGGACCAGCAGATCCGTGCGGAGGGGCTCTACGACTGTCGCTACTTCTCGTACTTTATCGAATGCTGCCGGTATACGCTCTTCGCTGCCTTGTCCTACTATTTCCTCCAGATTGGATGGTATGCGACTTCAGGATTCTTCCTTGGATGCTTTTGGCATCAGCTTGTGTTTACTGCCCATGATGCTGGCCATATGGGCATTACGCACAACTTCCACGTCGACACGGTGATTGGTATCATTATCGCCGACTATCTCGGAGGACTCAGCCTGGGGTGGTGGAAACGCAGCCACAATGTCCACCATATCGTGACGAACGCCCCCGAACACGACCCCGATATCGAACACATGCCATTCTTCGCCGTCTCCCATCGCTTCCTTACCAGCCTTCGCAGCACCTACTACGACCGCGTCATGGAATTCGATGCTGCTGCAAACTTCCTTTTGCGCTTTCAGAACTACCTCTACTACCCTATCCTCCTGTTTGGACGTTTCAACCTGTATCGTCTGAGCTGGGAATACCTTTTCATGGGCCAAGCCCCGAAGAAAGGTCCCGCCTGGTGGCATCGGTGGTTTGAGATTGGCGGTCAGGTCTTTTTCTGGATCTGGTTTGGCTATGGAGTGATGTACCGCTCGATTCCGGACTGGAGCAGCCGGCTTGCCTTCCTTTTCGTCTCTCACATGGTTACCTCTCCGCTGCACGTGCAGATTACGCTTTCTCACTTCGCCATGTCCACCTCCGATATGGGAGTCAACGAGTCTTTCCCGCAACGAATGCTCCGCACCACCATGGATGTCGACTGCCCGACCTGGCTCGACTTCTTCCACGGTGGTCTTCAATTCCAGGCCATCCATCATCTCTACCCCCGCATTCCCCGGCACAATCTGCGTCGAACCCAGCGCCTGGTGCTCGACTTTTGCCGCGACACTGGCATCCCCTATACCATCTTTACCTTCTACGATGGTAACAAAGAGGTGATTGGCAAACTCGGCGACGTCGCAAAGCAGGTCCGCATTCTCGAGGAGTGCAGGAAATCGTGCGCGGAGAATGGTGTGTTCTCGGATCATCATTGAAGTCATTGAAGACTATCTATGCGAGTCAGCGACCGAGCTAGATACACCCCTTCTGTCACTTTATCAAACATGTACTATCCCCAAACCCTTGTTGTAAATAGTCCCACTCTACGCTACGCTACGCCACCCCACCCCTACCCCACAGCACTATATAGTCTTTCAGTTTCTGGTGATGGTCCGGATATGACTGATGCCTTTTGAGTGCTTCGCAGTGCTGTGCCTAATGAGATAATGCCCCGGTCTGTGATTTATTGGTCTATAGAATGCATTATATATTACATGAATATCAGAATAAGCTTGTACTTTTGTGCCTTATATTTCCATTGTATCTGGAAGCCATACCCGATTATCAGTTACCCCATGTATGCAATCACAATTAAGGTGAGCTATCATGCCAACAGAAATAAACGCCTACCACACTTGAAACATATTAGACTAAATACACCATCATCATCTTCGTCCTAGTCACCTTTGTTGTGCTGTGAGGACTAGAACCTGACTAGCTATTGTACATTTCCGGCACTCTTCTATCCCACCCTACTAGGTACATCTTAATGATGGATCAGATACGAAAGTTAACGCAAATAGAAAAATATTTATTATTAGATACTTAATAGCCAAACTAGACATTACGCTAGTTTCCCTCACCACCATATCTCCATCTACGGAGTACAGTACAGTACGGACTATCTAGTTCCAACATAGTTTAAACAACCATCCAAACCGAGCCTCCCCAATCCCGCTGACTCACCGCCCTCCCAAACCCAAGATCAACTAACCACAACCAGCCACTAGCTCCCGAACCAGCTACTTAGCCGAGCGCCAAGCCCTCCACCCGCACAAGCAAGAAAGAACGGATGAATAAAAATTGAACAAAAAAAAGTTGCACGATAATTGTTATTCCGCCCGGCAAACCATCCAGACTCTCTCCTCAACGGCCATCATCACCTTACCGAACCCCGATAGTTCAGGTCTTGATTGGCAGTCCAGCCTCCCTTGCGGTATGCCCTCCCCCTCCCTCACTCCTTTTCTCTCTTGTCTCTCGTCGACGACAACTAACTTCCAGGTCCAACAGCATCTCAAATCCCACCGGTCACCCCACCGTCTCAAAACTACATTTCAAGATGTCTTTCCAGAAGCCTGAGAAGGATTTCGGCGAGGGCCCTGTACGTCTACCACCATACATATATAACATGTCTTCAATGCAATGCCATTGGGACATGGTTTATATATGAATCGATCAATGAATGCGACAAATCACTAACAACTTCTCTTTTTTGATGGGAATATAGAAGGTCCACAAGATCCGTATCACCCTCACCTCTCGCAAGGTCGCTTCCCTCGAGAAGGTGTGCTCGGAGCTGATCGACCGTGCTCGCTCCAAGTCCCTCCAGGTCAAGGGTCCCGTCCGTCTTCCCACCAAGACCCTTCACATCTCCACCCGTAAGACCCCCAACGGTGAGGGTTCCAAGACCTGGGACAAGTACGAGATGCGCATCCACAAGCGTCTCATCGAGTGAGTGCCCCCCTGCCCCAATATCTCTAACTCATATGCTATGATGAGTGTGAGAATGGAAAGGAAGATGGAAAACTAATGAATGTGTGCAGCCTCCTCGCCCCCACCGAGACCGTCAAGCAGATCATCATCAACATCGAGGCTGGTGTTGAGGTTGAGGTCACCATTGCTGCTTAAACAAATCCCTCACCTCTTCCTTCACTGGATACGGTTTGGGTTCGTGACAGGGGTGGCGCGGACGATGAGGTTATGTTTTGTGGTGCTGCTGCGGCCGTGCTAGGCATTCGTCGATACCCGCCAGTTCCTGGCTTGAAAATGAAAAAGTTCAAAAAGCAGTAAATTATTTTTCTTATCGGAGTGAATGATTGTATGGATTGTAGTGTAGTGTATTGGTATCAAAACTAGCAGTGATTTAACTGCTTCCGTTGTTCCGTGTGAGAATTTCCCGCCTGGACGCCCAATCCGTCCGTTAATAATGCTAATGATCTATATAATACAATGCCCAAGTAAACCATGTAAAAGAAAGTCCAAGAGCCTGGATTGGCTAAAAGTCGAAGCTCACCCATTCCGTCTTCGGGGGCACGCTCGGAATCACTCCGTCCTTGAAGCATCCGTTTTGCACGAAGAACTCGTACTGCGCAGTGACCTCAGCTGTATACTCCTCGTCCTTTGCATGTGCGTCCCGTAAGCTGGCTGCATCAGGGGGTCCATCTGGAAAGAAGATGCGGACGTAGGTATGACGATCCTGCGGATGTAGATAGCAGGGTTCGTTGTTGATGTACTTGACCGGTTGCCCCTTCCAGGCTGAGAGCCTCTTGGTCATTGGGTCGCGGATGGTCTGACCTGTCAGCGGTGGGATGGGGTGTAGCTCATTCGGGTTATCAATCTTGATAATGGCAGGAGGGCCGGTTCCTGCAGTAGCTGTTGGCGTGGACGCAAGAGCGGGAGCAGGCGCTGATTGGCCTAACTGTCCAAAACCGCTAGCGGGCTGTCCAAATCCTGAAGGTGCAGCTGGTTGGCTTGGAGCCCCGAAGGGACTCGGAGCTGCGGCCGTGGAGGGTTGACCAAAAGGGTTTGAGGCCGGTTGTTGTTGTTGTTGTTGGGGTTGACCAAAAGGCGAAGCTGTCTGTGACGGTTGGCCGAAACCAGCCGGCTGTGTCGAGGGTTGACCGAAGCCAGAAGACGCGGCGGGGGTTTGACTCCCGACCTGTGCGAACGGTGATGCTTGTCCGGCGGACTGACCAAAGCCGCTTGGTTGCTGGCTAGGAGCTGATATCTGACTAAATGGGGAGGCCGCAGCAGGTGTCCCGAATGCCGATGTTCCGAGTGATGATGGCTGGCCGAATGAAGACTGGCCGGTAGAAGGCTGACCAAAGCTAGGCTGGCCAAAGGCTGGTTTACCGAATGCCGACTGCCCTCCTCCCAAGCCTGAGGGCTGTCCAAATGCAGACCCTTGACCTAAAGCACTAGGTTGTCCGAAGCCAGGTGCTTGCCCCAGGCCAGATGTTTGACCCAAGGCCGAGGGCTGCCCGAAGGCTGACGGCTGACCGAACGCAGAGGGCTTGCCGAAGGGTTGACTGCCTAATCCTGAAGGCTGACCAAAAGCCGGTGCTGAGCTGGGAGCAGCGGGTTGCCCGAATGGTGAAGGTTGGCTAGGTTGCGAGGGCTGACCGAAAGCAGAAGGTGCTGGGGTGGAAGCAGGGCCGGTCTTGCCCTCCACGATATCAATTCTGTTGGGATGTTCATTGATACCATCGACGACATACTTCACAGCACCGTTTAGATCATTCAGGATGACATCCATCTGCTTCAATGCCTCCCCATACAGAGCTTGAGCTTCTTGGACTGCCTGGTCGGCGTTGCCTGCTGCGGCAGCTTCATAATGGCGCAGTCGCAGTTCTTCGAAACTCCGCTCTCGATTAGCGCCTCCAAATAATTGCCTTGGGGCGTTTCTGCCGGGACCGTAGCAGGAAAAAACCCATTCTGGCCGGCCTTTACCGGCGGTAAGATCGGCCTTGATGTCCGCCGTAGTTATTCCATAGCTGTGGGATGTCAGAAAGGTCCCATATAAAACGGCTTGACTGAAGAACGACTTACTCTGCAGATTGCTGAGTCTGGGCGCCACGGCCTATGTTTGACGTTAGGAATTCTCATAACACATGGTGGAAGCAACAAATCGTGAACCAAGTCACACATGTATAATGCGGTGACAGCTTTTGAAGAGAACAAATGACAATAATAATATAGTCCAGAGTAGACCATTAAAGTCGGCACACATAATGGCTTCAAAGCCCATTCAATAGACAGAGCATGCTGTGTTGTGTTGTCTCCAACAACAAACATCAAACGTACCTCCGAAACCTCCCCCAGCAAGTGCCCCGAAACGGTTGCCGGAGCTCAATGTCTGCTGGCTGGGGTGCTCATTCTTACAACGGTCTGGAATGATTGTTAGTCCACTATCCAGACCGGAACAAGAGCAAAAATCTGATCCTTGGGGCAAGGTATCTTCGTACCTCCAAATCTGCAGCGCCCCTGCTGAAAGTACGTGCAGACAACCATGTCGTATTGGGCCTTTGCGGCGTCGGACAGTACGAGAGGCCCCTGCTGACCGTCTGACGGAGATGATAAGAGCTCAATCGAAAGTCAGAGACCCACGAATTGGAGCTATCTATTTGACCAATCGTTAGAGAAGGACGTGACGAATAAGTAGACTCTTAAGTAATACCAGACAGCGAAGCGCGCGCAGCTGGTCGCGGTGTATAACTAGAGAGAATCTGCGGATGGCCGGTGGTGGTTGGATTGATCCGGTGACAGTACATTTCGCCGCCTCAGGCTGCAGTATTGGCCGGAAATCCATGCATAGTGTATGGACATGGTATTGTAATTTACACATGTTCCTGCCCGCGGAGCTATCAAGAGCCGAGATACAATTTGTCTGTAACATTCTATTTTATTCATTTACTCTTCTACAGGCTGCAAATAACACCAAGAAAGACACTAGGTCGGGGTATACTGGTGGTTATATTTTCGGCCTTGTTAAATCATCAATAGCAACCGTTGCCTGTTCAATGCCAATGCTTCATAAAATTACAATGGATCCGATGTCAACTCCTATTCTCCGAGCCATTTCCCATAATATCAAGTTCATGTCACGCTTGTCCACCGCTGGAGTGAGAAGTCTGTGTATGTGTGACGCTCTGCCTCAGGACATCCCAGTTCAGTCCGTCAATCTTCTCCCCGCCGAGGGACTCAAGCTCCTGGGCCAGTCCACTCAACTTGCCACTAGCAAGGCGGCGCATCATGACTGTGTCCTTGGAGCCATGGAGACCCTTTGCACTACCGTGAAGCAGAGCATCCTCGAACCATTCCTCTTCTTGATCGTCGAATGGAAGGCCGATTAGTTCCAGCGCGCGACTGCTCCGAAGTTGGCCAGCGTCTGTTGTGTGCACGAACTCAATGAGCTGTGTAAGGTAGCTTCGACGTAGAGTGTCATCGTTCTTGCGGGTGAAGTAGAAGGCCTCCGTAATGCTTGAGCGACAGAGCGTCTTGAAGAAGGCTCGCTGGACCTTCTCCGATGCCAAAGGCGGGGAAACAGTAAGGTAGTATGCCATTACGAGGCTGTCATCGTGCTTGGGAAGCCGAGGAAGAGTAAGGACATAGAGGATTTCATCCGGGAAAGTTGGAATTATAGAAGGCTCGGTCAGATATTCGACGGCTCGCTGTCGGCGCATTCTGGGTCAGTAACCGTCGCAAACTGCGTCAAGGCAGAGACGCACCTTAAATTCAAGCCTATCGAGGTTCCACAGTCCTTCTATGAACAGCCTGTACTTCTCCGGCAAATGACACCGGCGCGAGAACTGGGAAGCCGCATCGCTGGCGGCACGGCAATCTTTCAGGATATAGTAGATCAACGCTTGCTTGTGCTCTATGTCCATGGGGGAGGAAAGTATATGTCCGACAAGAGTCCGGAGGTCTGCATTGGATCTGGGAGGGTAGAGTTGCGTGACTAGAGGTTGCTCCTGATTAACAACGACCTTCACTTCAGAGCTGGATGAGGGGCGAGAATACCTGCTTTAACTCCGAGCAATCCTAGCAGTCTGTCGGCGAACAGCTGGTTTTCAAGCGCACGGCGGTTGGCGACGATCTGCTCAATGACCTTGCCATCGTAGGTGAAGTTCTTGTTAAAGTAGAAGATAGAGTCGAAATCGTCCCAGGGAGCCATTTTGTCAGAGATATGTCCGTAGAACAATTCCGATACAGCGCTGATTATTTACTCGCGGTGAATTGTATGGGCCGCCGTGGCAGGTGGGCGGTGAAGCAGACAGTCCAAAGACGCACATGTTGTGGCAGAAAACAACACCATTCCCGATGGGGACACAATGTAAACAACCCACTTTCCACTTCCGCCCGCAACTTTGCAACTGCGCCCGCTTCAACATTCACCTTGATGAAGCCGTCTCTGGCGACGACGACGACTCATCCAAAATAATGTCATCCATCGCAAGAAGCCGCCCAACTAGGCGCTCTGCCGCCGCCCGGCGGAGCTATGCTATCGAAGAAACCTCCGAAGAGGAGGATCCCGGAAATGTCACCCCCACGGCATCTCAGCACGACGAAGACGACGACGATAGCGGCGAAGCCACGCCTGTTCCCAAGAAACCCAGAATTGAAAAGAGGTCCTCGCGCAGGCGAGCCACCGTTGATCAGACTACACCCAAGGCCACGCGCACTACACGGAGGTCTCGCAGATCGGCAACCGCAGAATTGTCGGAGGCGTCGCAACTCACAGATACCAACGACAATGAAGGCGACAGCGTCGCGTCAGTGGAAGAACCCGAGACTGCCTCACAAGTCACAGCATCGGTAAAGAAAATAACCAGTATGGCTCACCCCCGCAAGAGTCGTGTCTCCCACACGCCCAACCCGGAAATGTCCTTACTCCCTACTCCAGAGCCCTCCGTCTCGCCGCCCCCGTCCCAACCCCGATCGCAGAGGGGCAGTGTACCCCCACTCGCTGATATCACTGAATCGGCTGTGAACCAGACGCCCGCGAAGCCCGAAAGCGAGGAAAAGCCTCAAATCGCCATGATCAACCCCAATACGACCGTTCTCGAAAAGCCGATGGATATCATGATGAAGTCTCGGTTGCTGGGCCCCTCAGCACCCGAGGAGCCATCCGAACCTAAGAGCCGCTTGATTATCACTACACTAATTTTGATGAATTTCAAGAGTTACGCAGGGAAGCAGATCGTCGGGCCCTTCCATGCCTCTTTCTCGTCGGTTGTTGGACCAAACGGATCCGGAAAGTCCAATGTTATCGATGCGTTGCTCTTTGTCTTCGGTTTCCGAGCCAGCAAGATGCGACAGGGCAAGGTTTCCGCTCTCATTCACAATTCCGCCAACTTCCCCAACTTGCCCTACTGTGAAGTCGAAGTCCACTTCCAGGAAGTCCTTGACTTGCCCACCGGAGGGCATGAAGTAGTCCCAGATTCCCAACTGATTATCTCCCGAAAGGCATTTAGAAACAACAGCAGCAAGTACTACATGAACGGCAAGGAGACGAACTTTACCGCCGTGACCACCCTGCTCCGCGACCGCGGCATTGACCTGGACCACAAGCGTTTCCTTATTCTCCAAGGTGAAGTCGAGTCAATCGCACAGATGAAGGCCAAGGCTGCCAATGAACATGAAGATGGTCTCCTGGAGTACCTCGAGGATATTATCGGAACCTCTAAATACAAGACGCCCATCGACGAAGCAGCTGCTGAGCTGGAGACGCTGAACGACGTCTGTATGGAAAAGAACAACCGTGTACAGCATGTAGAGAAGGAGAAGAACGCCTTAGAAGACAAAAAGGACAAGGCACTCGCCTTCATCCGTGACGAGAATGAGCTGGCCCAGAAACAGTCCGCACTTTACCAGATTTACATCAATGAGTGCGGGGACAACATCCGGGTTACCGAGGAAGCCATCCTGCAGATGCAAGAGCTTTTGAACCTCGAGCTAGAGAAGCACGAGGGCAACGAGTCCGGCATCAAAGAGCTCGAAAAGGCGTACAAGCGTGGCATGCGGGAATATGAGAGCATGGAAAAGGAGATGCAGGCCTTGGCCAAGGAAATGGCTAAATACGACAAGGAATCCGTCAAGTTTGAAGAGAAGAAGAAATTCTTGGTTGGAAAGCAGAAGAAGCTGGAAAAGGCCATGCAGAGTACTCGACTGGCTGCCTCTGAGTGTGAAAGTTTGGTGCAAAAGCATGCGGACGACATTGAAAGGAAATCGAAGGAGACTACACAGCTTGAGAAGGAGATGAAGGTGGAGGAGGAGGAACTGAACTCGATCCGTGAGAGCCTCAAAGGCAAAACCCAGGGCCTCTCAGACCAAATTACGGCAAAGCAAAAGTCATTGGAGCCTTGGGATGAGAAGATCAACAAAAAGCTCTCGGCTGTTGCTGTGGCTCAGAGTCAACTTGACATCATCCGTGAGAGAAGCAACGCGGGTGCTGTCCTGTTGGAAGAGGCTCAGGCCAAGGTGGCTTCAATCGAAGAGGGCTTGGCTACCAAGGAGACCGAGCTTGAGGAACGCAAGGAGCAGAAGTCGACACTCGAACAAGAGGTCGAGAAGCTCAAGCATGACCTCAAGAAGTATGCCCACAGAGAACCCGAAGTGCGAGCCCATGTCTCGAGTGCTCGACAGAAGGCAGATGAGGCAAGGGCCAGTCTTGCAAGCACTCAAAATCGCGGCAGCGTTCTATCTGGACTTATGCGTCTTAAGGAGTCGGGCCGTATTGAAGGCTTCCACGGCCGGCTCGGCAACCTCGGAACTATCGACGAGAAATATGATGTAGCTATCTCGACTGCCTGTCCAGCGCTGGACAACATGGTAGTTGATACGGTTGAAGTCGGTCAGCAGTGTATTGACTACCTGCGTAAGAACAATCTCGGCCGAGCCAACTTCATTCTTTTGGATCGACTCCCACGGCGGGATCTGTCTTCCATCGCAACTCCGGAGAAGGTCCCTCGACTTTTTGATTTGGTTAAGCCTAAAGACTCCAAGTTTGCCCCCGCATTCTACAGTGTCATGCAGAACACCTTGGTTGCTAAAGACCTCGAGCAAGCCAACCGCATTGCCTATGGAGCCAGACGGTGGAGGGTCGTTACCCTTGACGGTCAACTTATTGACATGTCTGGTACTATGAGTGGTGGTGGTACCCGCGTAGCACGTGGCGGCATGTCCTCCAAGCAAGTGGCAGAAACAAGCAGAGAGCAAGTTGCTCAGCTCGAAGGGGATTTGGAAGAAATGGAGAGGAAATTCCAGCGCTTCCTGGAGAAGCAACGACAAATGGAGGCAGCGATCAGAGAGAGGTCCGAGGAGATACCACGGGCGGAGACCAAAATTCAGAAGATCATGATTGAGATCGAAAGTGCCAACAGAAGTCTCGCAGACGCCCAGCGGCGCGTCAAGGAACTGAGCGCCGAGCACAAGCCATCAAAGACGGACGCGAACCAAGCTGCAGCTCTAGAGAAACAGATTGCTGCTCTGGAGGAAGAAATCGAAGACCTTCGTGAACAAAAGGGCGGCATCGAGGAAGAGATCCAGACTCTCCAGAATAAGATCATGGAAGTTGGTGGTGTTAGATTACGTGGTCAGAAGGCCAAGGTCGACGGTCTCAAGGAGCAGATCAGCCTTCTTGCAGAGGAGATTTCCAATGCAGAAGTTGGAAAGTCAAAGAACGAGAAGGCCATCGTCAAGCACCAGAATTCCCGTGCTGACGCAGAGAAGGAACTTGAGCATGTGACAGAGGAGCTCGAGAAGCTCAATGCGGATGTTGCCAACCAGGCCAACGATGCCTCGGGGTGGAAACAGAAGGTGGAGGAAGCGGAAGAGGTAAGTCCGACATGGAAATGTATCAGATTCACAGGCTCACACAAGACAGGCTCTCGACGAAAAGAAAGAGGAGCTCGGCAAGGTGAAGGCTGAGTTGGATGAAAAGGTTGCTGAATTGAATGAGTCCCGCGCCACCGAGATCGAGATGCGCAATAAGCTTGAGGAGAACCAGAAAGCCTTGGCTGAGAACGAAAAGCGCGGGCGGTACTGGCAAGAAAAGTTATCCAAGCTTTCGTTGCAAAACGTCAGCGATCTGGGTGAAGAGCAGGAAGCCACAGAGCTCCAGATGTTCACTCAAGATGAGTTGATGGAGATGAACAAGGAGTCGTTGAAGGCAGCCATTGCTGCCCTCGAGGAGAAGAGCCAGAATGCATCTGTCGACCTTAGTGTCATCGAGGAGTACAGGCGCAGAACGGCAGAACACGAAGCACGTTCGGCCGATCTGACTACTGCGCTGGCATCGCGCGACAGTGCCAAGGCCCGTCTTGATGGCCTCCGATCTGCTCGTCTGAACGGGTTCATGGAAGGATTCGGCATTATCTCGCTTCGTCTGAAGGAGATGTACCAGATGATTACGATGGGAGGTAACGCGGAGCTGGAATTGGTCGACTCTCTGGATCCATTCTCTGAGGGTATCTTGTTCTCCGTCATGCCTCCGAAGAAGAGCTGGAAGAACATTGGTAATCTGTCCGGTGGTGAGAAGACACTTTCCAGTCTGGCGCTGGTATTCGCCTTGCATCACTACAAGCCCACTCCCTTGTACGTGATGGACGAAATCGATGCTGCCTTGGACTTCCGGAACGTGAGTACTCTATCCCAGCTACTAAAAGTGCGTTGCTAATCTGCATAGGTTTCGATTGTGGCATCCTATATCAAGGAGAGAACTAAGAATGCCCAGTTTATTGTGATTTCTCTGAGAAACAACATGGTAAGACGCTCGCCATAGATGCTACAGCAGCGCGTTACTGACTCAACAATAGTTCGAACTTGCCTCTCGACTGGTCGGTGTTTACAAGGTCAACCACATGACCAAGAGTGTGACGATCGAAAACAAGGACTACATTACGGGGCGATGAATGATTTGATCTGCACGTATGCATGTTATGACTTCTTTCTTTTCTGTATGGGTTTTCCGGAAAGGAGGCGCGGTGTGGGACTGGATATCTGTCACTGGCTGAAGGAGAATCTATGGGCTCCTTCCATACCTGTTTATACGCGGGGTGAAGTTTTAAGATATGGTGTTGACTATTGTTTTCTGACTTCTTGTATGAATTGGATGATGTCCATTTTGTCTGGTATGACTGGATTCGGAATACATATATTGATTCATCTGTTCTATTTTGACCTCGTGATGGTGATGAACCTCTATCGACTTGTAAGTTCAAGAGTTATTTCCCATAGTAGACAGTATAAGTAGGCTCATGCTGTTGCAACAACGTAACTTAGCCACGATGATTACTTATCTACTTCTACTGCTCGACGTAACTACTGCCATTCTATGATACAGGTTTTCAAACTCAGGAAAGTCATCTACATGTATTCACTGCCGGAACATTCACTGCATCCATGTATTGAACCAGATCCTCCACCACCTCTGTTACTACCTATTCGGCGGCCCCCCTCACTTACTTACTCCTAAAGATTGAACTGTTCTCGGTGTCTTGATTTTCAAGTCTCCTGTTCAGTACCACTCCTGCCTCCGGGTGCCACCTACCTACACAGAACGAGCTCTATAATCTTCAAAATGCCACCAGAAGTCACTCCTGACCTCAGCTACTTTTCACTCAGAAGATTGATCAAAGGCAGTTCTTCATCCTTTTCATGTTCCGGATCCATTCCTATCACTACCGATGCCTCCGTCGAAGAATATGGTCACGTCCCTACCAAGTCCCGGCCCGTCAGAATTTTCTGGACTTCGAGGGATTCGGTGCCGCACGTGCTGGTTCTTCCTGTCTGCGAAAAAGATGACATTGACGCTTCTGGTGCAGGAGCTTTGCAGCAGCTTATCAGTGATTGTGCCCCTGCTTGCTTTCGCGAATGTGGAAAGCGCATTCTTGATCCTACTTTTGGCAAAGCCGGGACACTGAATCCTGCTCACTTCGCCACTACTTTCCATCCGGTGGATCTTGGTATTCTTGATGAAATTGAGAAACAGCTGCTTCCGTCTTTCAATGTTGATGCTAGCAGAAAATTGATCGCAGATCTCTGGAAGCTAGAAGTTTGTCTCTATCCCTTTTTCTCTAGTTTAGAAACGTATAGGGTGGAAAGGGTAAGAGTCCACTTACTAACCATGAGAACAGGTCTTCTCCAGCCCCGATGGCTTCTTCAAGAATCACACCAATATCCCCTATAGTGAGAATCAATTTGGCTCGCTCGTAGTGTGCCTGCCTTCCCGTTTCACCGGAGGGAACTTATATGTGCGACACAATAAGCAGGTTCGCGATCTGGACTGGAGCCCGGCCAGTTCCTCGACTATCCAGTGGGCTGCATTCTATGATGACTGCGAGCGTGAGATTGTGCCTGTTATAGAGGGAAAACTCATCACTCTGGTTTACAGACTTCATGCTGTAGATGCTGGCGTGCGATATGTCCATCCTAGATCATCCCTCACGCCATGCATGCAGCCACTTAAGGCGGCGGTGATGAGAATTCTGGGGAGCTCTGACTTGATGAGACAAGGTATATTCCCAATCCATATCTACATCCCTGTCTTCCCTTCTTTCCGCCAAAGGAACTGGTTGTTCTAGTTTGTGGCTTATTTGACCTTTTGACAGGTGGCATCCTCGGGGCCTTCTGCTCCTACGCCTATCCCGCCTCAGAGAGCATTGCACATGTGCTAAAGGACGGCGATTATCTTCTCTACTCAGCCTTCAAGTCCTGTGGCCTAGACACCTTCGCGCTGGCTATTTCTAGCACCGGGGACTGGTATGCTACTATTTTGGAGCGCGCACAATCCAAAAATATCCCCATCCAGAATGATGAGAGGAACAAGGCTGCCAAAGTATGACTCTCACTCAGAACCTTTAACCAGAAAATTCCTTATATACTTGGGTGTGTAGCATATGCTAACAGACACACTCTCCATAGGTGATGGCAAGTGAGGCTTGGCCATGCATTACCTTGCCAGGAGTGAGGTGGGTAAATGAGCAGAACCGGAATAATTCTGCGCTACGGCATTGCCCTCGTGACACCGGAGCTGCTTCTTCTTCTGGATACGGAAATGACACTCATAGGCCAACAAAAAAGAGAAAAATTGATCAGTCGAAGACCCCGCCGTACGTGGATGGCGCTATTCTCGCTGTGATCCCGCCGTGGGGGGTACGATTGTAGCTGCGGCACTTAGTAAATCTACAAGGTCAAGATAACGCATGTTGAAAGGAGATGGCATGTCAAAGAGAGAGATTTGATTTACAGCTTGTCCGAAAGGCAGGGACCGAGCAGATCCAGATATCTGAATAGGTACTACCAGCTACCAATCTAATTCTTCTTGCTTCGAACTATATCCTTAATTCACATAGTATTGACTTGGGATTCAGCATTCGACTCACTAGATGTTGTATGACCTTCCCCTAGTTACAAGCTGCTTCACAAAATCACCAGTAGATGCAGAAGCAGACTGACTCAGTATTTGAGTATACATGTCATACCCGGTTTTTCTTTTGAGCTATGCATGACTCGAGGGTATGTATGATCGTTTATTTTTAGTTCAATATAATAGTATGATATACTCTGTGTAACATTCACCTCCTCATAATATAGCATTAAAGCAAAACACTTACTCACAGCAAGCAGTACCACGAAGGGTAGTTTAGCGTTATGCTTACATTTTATATTGGGATTTGAGTCGGTATGTGTTCTGTAGTAGACGAATAAAGTGCACAAAACACCAAATATACCAATAATCCATAATAAAAAGGTATAAATCATCATTCACAAACAGCCCATATCACAAGAATAGAAAGGGTACAATAAAAATAAACAAAAAAGAAGATATAGCATGTCCTGGTTTCGATCCAGGGACCTCCGGGTTATGAGCCCGGCGCTCTTCCCCTGAGCTAACATGCTGCGGATGAAGATTTATACCCTCTCTTTGACATTATATTTCTGTGGGATAATACTCGGCCGAGAGTAGAATTAGGTTTAAATTGCCAAGGATAAGGCTATTACTGGTGTAAGTATTGTAGGAGATTGATTATGGTTTTAGTTTGGAGGTATATCTGACATGTCATGAGGGAGTGGAATATGAAGATTTATGTTCAGTAGTGTTTCTGTAGTGCTAGTAATATGGTAGTATATAACGATATCGACTTTCTGGTTCAATTGACTGAATGGTATGCCAGCAATTCTATATTCAAGTATGATCGTGTATATTGTGCACAGACAGTCGCTTGGTGCATTGACCAGCATAACCCAGTTTCATGTGGTGGTTGTAGGCTGGCAGTAAGCAGAGATGGAATAATTTAATCGATTGTCCTATCGAAATCGGACCTGATAGCCACTCGACTTGGTCCTATGAAGCATCTTTCTTTAACCTACATGATTATCATAATGAAGGATATGTCGGGTACCTTGTCATTCTAATTGAAAGTGCTAACAACGGATTCATTGCGGTCATCTGTTGCAGCTTGCGCGCTGCAGTCCTCTCAGTTATATGTTTCCGCATTGTGTCGAGTAAATATTGTCAGACTTGAAGCATTGTACACGTTCCCAGGACGGATTTGTACGGGAGTGCTGGCAATTAGTGTTCCATGCATGGACAGTACTCGGTTCTAAAATTCAGACTCTATTGAATGAATACATCGCATCTTCTACTATCATCCCATTCGTTTCTGTTTATTTCACTCTAATATTGTTCGCTACAACATTCTATGTATATTTCATGCATACAATACTACCCCCTGCTCATGTTGAAATTCCGCTTAACCTAAGCCACAGCAAATGAATACCACCAAGACAAAGACAACCGAATGAACCCTATTTCAACAATCACCACCCGCAACCCATCCACAATATATCCTACCCATCACCAACAACAATACCACCAATTTCTAACATCAAACATCAAACCCCATAACAACAGAGACAGAATCCAGCCAAATGAATACATAAATCAATTACCAAACATACTCCACCTAGCCTAGTTAGTAGGCTAGTAGCCTACCCAGTACGTACCCACCCAAGCCCAGTGGCGGGCCAAGCACTGGCCCCCCCCTCTCTGCCTTCCATCCATCCTCCCCTCCACTTGACTAAAGTTAGTCAGTTCTAGCTCCAGTCAAATAATATTCTCCCACCAACCATCTAAAACGAACGAACGGAAAGGGCCCGAAATAATAATAATAACAATAAATAATAACAATGAAAAAGAGAAAAGAGAAAAAAAAAACCCCTCAAACTTTGACAATTCTACTCTACGTAGTCCAGACCAAATTTGCTTACATTTTTGCTTACAATTAGATCTGTTGGTGTTTGCCAGTGTGGGTGGGCAAGTTGACAAATAATTTCTCAGTCGGGTTTCTTGATTAGTTATAGATTGAAAAAGAAAGAGCGGGATTTGGGTGGTGAACTAGACTTAGTCACTTTATTTAATCTATTCCTTATTCCTTGAAGGAATTATAGATTGTTATTTGTATATAGGCTATATGTTATAGAATTATAGATGCACTGTAAACTACTAACTTTGTATAGTAGTAGTAAACATGTGAAAAGTGGTCAAAAACCTGGCCTGTCGATATTAATTAAATTTAACCCACCCGCTCGGGTATATTTTACTCAAGTCAGTCACTTACTATATATGAAAGAAAACGGTGAAGATCGCAGTAAGACATGACTTGTCTCTGAGCTGAGCTGAACTGAGCCGAGCAAAGCAGAGCAGAGCACGGTTCAAAAGATGAACTAGTTAGTTTACTGAGAATCTAACTCAATAATACCCAGCAATTATACATAAATACCCACTTATTCAACCACAGATGTCAAGGAAGAATCATCTTCCAGCAGGTTTAAACTTAATTACTTTGTAGTTAGGTCGAAGCGATCTGCCAAAACAAGGGAAAGAAGAGGAGGGGAAGGACGCGAGTCGTTGTCTGTTCAAAGCTTACTTGCAGACTGCAGTAGGGGGAACGGAAAGGAAAGAGAGAAAGAAGAAAAGTTCCAGGCCAGGCGAGGCCAGCCTTGTTTACTATTTAGTTACCTTACTTACTTAACTAGAATTACTTAGTTGACACAAGTTGACAAGTGTGGCTGGCCGTCTTTTACTTTAATGAGGATTTCTTGCAGCGAAAAAGGCCGTGGAAGTTACCAACTCCGTAATAAGTAGGTGTGTGGTTTTTTGCTTTTTTTTGTCTGTTTGTTTGACTGCTATGTAAGTTCTGCTAGTTGCTGGATAGTACTTCCGTGGGTTCCTATTGGTATATATATTTAAGGGCTAATCTATGTAGGAAGCAGTATTAGTATGGCTAGCTCTAGCTCACTTGGAATGCATCTGGATAGACAGTAGATACTGGTAGAGATCTGGGTGCAGTAGCAGCAACACGCCGTGTCCATAACCACTCACCAAGCAACCCAACCCAACCAACCCACAATAACAATAACAGCACCTACTAATCAAATCTCTCACAAGCCACGTGGAGTTCCAGGTTGGTTCCAGTCTGCATCCCATCCCCAATAAGAAAATGTGAGTGGATGGAGACCTCATCACCCAATGAGAGAAAATCGAAAAAAAAGAGGGTTGGGTTTGGTTATAATTGTGGGAACTAAGAAACTCCCTCCTGCTGCTGCCGCTGCTGCGAACTGGAACGAACGGCTATGCTTGCTTGCTTGCCTACTTGCTTACAGTGGAGCGTGTTTCTCCCGTCGGGCGGATTCCACTTGTTTCATTTTGTCGGGTCGGCTGGTGGGTGAAGTGGGTGAGTGGATGAATGGGTCGGCAGAGTGGAAGAGGAGGCAAAAAAGATGGGCAAGTCGTATATGTGTCGTGTGCTTGCTTGCCTTGCTTGGTATTGGTACTTACCGTACGGGTTATTACTATTAGTTGTTAAGTATTGTTTGTTGTGGTTGTGGTTGTTGTGTGATGGGATGTGATGGTCGTACATTATTTGGGGTTTTGTTTGGGGGTGTTTCATCGGATCGGAAGTTAAGTATTGCCTATAATTTGGGATAGATGGATGGAGGAATGTAAGAATTGATAGATATCGATAGGTATCAAGGTAGGCCACGAGGCTGAAGATAGACGATAAGAGAGAGACTGAAAGGGTATGAATTCGGAAGTATTCACCATTATTCTATCTGGATAGACCTGCATTGCGGAGGAAACATGACGGGCTTATGATCTGTCCAACAAGGGATCCATCCTACATTCTGGGAAAGTTTTATTGATGTGCAGATTGCAGATAGTACCTGTCTAACGGTAGTATCTCCCCCTCCCCAATCTCACGGTCGGGTTACACACAACAACGCGGGTTGATAGATCTATACGCGGCGGGAGATCTATCGCGACCGGCAAAAAGTATATCGCAATCCCAGCGATAACAGACAACACAACCGGATTCAAGGCACGCGGATTAACTTTCGAACTTATCATATAGTAGACTGGAATTGTGCCGTCTTGAGACTACTGCACTGTGACGTGATGGGGTAAATTAATGTTGTTCCTTCGACAGCAAGACTTCCTCCCCGATCGCAAAGCGGCTGTTGCTGGATTCACATCCTGGTCGCTGGTTCACCATTATTATTACCACGAGTTATGGTGATGTCGGTTCGGCGAAACTTCGTCAAAACACGCGGGATGCCCGGGGATTGTTTGGACTGTTTGGGACATTCCGTTGCTTGGGACACAAGGAGGGTCTTAGCTGAGATGGCTTGCGAGGGAAATCCTTCCGCTGCACTAGACGCGGTCCTATACTTGGCTGTAAGTATGCGTATAGAGTTCTTGCTGTACGCCATCTACTCCGTATCCAAGGTACACTTCTAACTATCACCCACAGCGGCTGCACTCCGCATGCGGCAAGCGGTTGCTGCGTCCGGTGTCTGTCGCTCTCTGGATGGATCATCCGGCTGGCTGGAGATGGTCCGATCGCGCAGCAAGGTTCGACCCGACTTGAGTTGTCTTCTCGTACTTTGGGGCAAGTATCAGACATTATCGATGCTACTGCGTCTCGTATTGAGTAGGAGGGTGGTACGGGATGCTCGATACTAAACTAATTACCGTCTTCCGCTAGAAGCTTACCATACAAGGGCGCAGGCAGCAAATCGGAGAAAGAAATGGCCGTTGTCGGGCGACTGCCCATTTTTTTGGGGGGTGTTCCCGGAGGACTACGATAATCACAAGTATCAGGCGGGTTGATACCTCCTTGATCATGTTGATGAAACCCCCAATCTTACTGTGCTCCGGGCAGTGTAAGTGAACGTACGTAGTCTGTCTCTAAAGGGAGACTGTTGTATTGCCCAGACGGGAATACTCCGGAACTCCGGACCCCAAACATTGAGGAATCAAGTGATAGACAGGAGGTGATTCGGATCTCTAACCCGAAGACTCGTCGCTGAGCATCTGCATGCGTACTTCAGTTGTTCCAGGGCGAGACCTGGAATGGATAGCGTCTGTTTTGTTCATCGAGAAAGGCATAACGGCCGTTGTCGGGCGGGAGGCGCAACACCTCGGTGGGTATAGTCGTCAGTAGACTCAAACTCAAGCATGGGAAGGATCCCGATCGTCCGCCAGACAGCATCATCATCTTCCATGTGACTAGCAGGATAGCCTCCCTTCCGAGCTCTTACTTAGTTGGGGTTGGAAGGGAGGAAATGGTGGCTGACAGCGGGATGAGGCTGCCTGCAGAGGATCCAATATTCGGATAGGCACCATGGAGGTTTAGTTCAGTAAGTAGTTCCGCTGTGTGATAATAGCCGCGCCAATCCTGATTATATGGATGGGCTGTGATTGCTCCGGATGCGCATGCTCATCCCGTGTCTCTCTTTTTTCTGTGTCTGTGTCTGCCTCTGCCTTATGGAGCTTACCCAAGGATTCACTGATCTCACTGATCTAACTGGGTAAGTAAGTAAGTCTAGCTGGCTATCGCGATGCGACTAGTCTAGTCAGTCGCTGGGATTAATGCTGGATCCCCCCACTTGAATCCTGGGCTGCACTCGGTAAGTAACTGGGATAGTGCCGAAGGGGGATCAAGGTGCGACCCTGGTTCGTATCGGAACCCTCGGGCATGGGAGGCGGCAATTATTTGATGCACATAGGATCTATGACCCTATGATTGCGATCAGGCGGAATGCTTCCTTTTTTTTATCCTTTCTTTTTCTTCGCTTTATTTCCCCTTCCCCTCCTGCTCCTATTGCTTTGTGATCAATGAAGCCCAGTGACATAAAGTAAAAAAGAAAAAAAAGTAAAATTAAAAAAGGGGGAAAGAAGATCAGCAAAGAAAATAATCCCAGGGTGCATTCCTGTAATTGAAGTTCCTTGCCGAACATGGCTGGATTGGGAAAGTTCCTGGTCGGAAGCGACCAGCTCGGTTGCTGACCGTTTATCCATGCTGGGGAACCGGTCGGTGGTTCGAATCTGGAGAGTGATGACTGATGATTGATGAGAGAGTGTGAGAGTCAGATCCTACCTTAGTTAATTAAACTAATTACTAGTCACTTAGATGCTCACGTTGTGGATATACAACCAAAATCAAAAAAGGGTAACATTTTCATGGAGCATACGACCATCCTCCCTGCCACCGGATATACGAAAAAAATCCAAAAGGCAAAGGGAAACAAAAATGGCGCAGGTGATAATTTGACTTCTTCCATCCCTCGTTCTACAGACCTTCGATTGCGTAAAATCCAGGTTTAGCGGCCAAACGCCGTCCCGTCAAATTGGGTACGGAAGTTTGTTTGGGTCGAGTCCATCGGGCGCGGTGACGGGTTGGGTTTAGATAGTCCTGGTAGTACCACCACCACAACCACATCCAGCGTCACTAATTCGTCTAGTCGAGTCTGTCCCATAGTCACTCGGTAACTCCGGGGTTGATGGCTTTTCCTCTTCTGCTTCCTTACAGCCGGAATACACCCGGGGTTATTGTCCGCCTTGCTGTTTTCCCTGGTTCACCCTCATCAGCCATTCATTCCATCATGGAATTGGGGAACGAAGAACCGTTGGAATGGTTACGCAAAGGAGTAAATGGCCATGTGTGAAGGAGGGTAAAGGAAGGGCCATGATCGACAAACATTGGGCGGGTAATCATTTTCATTCTGGTTCCTATTGATCTGATGCCGTTTAGGCGCCCCTCCCCCTTCTCCTCCGTCTGAACCAGAATGCTGGCTGGCTAACTAACTAACTAGTCAGTCAGTCATGCCCTCCCCATGCTTGTGTCTCTCCCATACTCCATCTGGGCAATCTAGTCGCATATTAGGCCGGAACCGTTTTCTGTCGGGCTCCATCCGCTGACAGGCTGAAGGGAGACTAGGAGTTTTAGTGAATTTCAGCCTGCAACAGACGATTCGTCTAAGGGAGAATCAGATAAATAAGCGCAATAAGAGAGGCGGATGCCAAGTAGGATAGTGAGTCGCAGGAATGGGGAATGGATATTGTCGGAAAAGACCCCTCCAGTCCTCCATAGTTTGTCATCGTTAATATTCGGATTTGAGGATCCCGGATACTACTCCGTCTATTTTAATTTATATTTCACCACTACTAGTTGTAGTTATAGTTCCGGTACGATGAGTTCCCTTGTCGCCTAGTTGAAACCCAACCGGGATTCATTCTTTCTAGGTTCTTGGATGGCAAGCAGGCAGAGAAGAAAGGGAGGGAGGGAGAGAGGGGGGAGGGATGTGCTTTGGCCCCCAGAGCCACTGGAAGCACAACAGGTTGGTAATCGGATAGTTGCTTGAATTTATTGGATGGTTGGGCTCTCTTTGACCACTGTTTAGGCAGATCGAGGATGTAAGTAATTCACTTATCAGCAATAATAAGTAGTACTTACTCTACTGAGTGTATCACTGTATAGCAAGTAGTATAGATGGGAGAGGGATGGAACCGGAAAGTACCATACAGAACCATACCAAACGGTAATTACCAACCCGAGCCAGGCCAGCCCCGGCCAGACCCTCTCTTTGCCTCTTCCATTTTCATAATGCAGCCGATGCACCGCTCCACTTCCGGGCTTCTCTTGTTCCCCCCCCTTCTACTTACCTTTCCGATATCCTTTCCCTCCACTACTACTGCTACTACTTACTGCTACTGGCTCATACTACTACTTACTCTTCCCAGTAAAGTCGCTAATCAATGCCTCTCTCTTTCTTTCACTCTCTCCATAGAGTCTGGAGTAAAACCAACTAGTAGACTTCCTACTCGTCCATTCCCTTCTCTGCCTCTCAGCCACTTAATATATACTCTTATCCTTACCCTCCGTCTCGTCCCTCTCTTCTTTTTCTTCTTCTTCCTTCCCTCCTTTCCTTTTACTTCCCCACACTCTGTCTTTGTTCTGCAAGCTGGTCTTTGCAGCTTCACTGACTCTATTACCACTATTATAATTACTTTTACTACCCCAACGTTGTTGTTCTCGTTGTGGGTGGTTCAATCCAACCTTTTCAACCTTCCACTACTACCGTCTGGATCTGGATCTGCACCAGCCATACCCGGTTTCCCTCCCCTCCTCCCTTCAATTTGCTGGTGGTTATTCTGCGTCATTGCCACGAAACCACCACCACCAATCACTGTGACTCTTATCTGTGAAAGCATGTATTGCAATAATGCTCTAATATGGTTGCTGGGTTCTGCTAGACCATAACTTTCACGGATATGGATTTCATTGTAAGTGTGGCTTTCTTTTCCTGTCTCTTCCCACCCCCCCATGTGCCTCGGTGTGTGTGTGTGTGTCTGTCTTTCGCATCGGTGAATGATGTTGGTGATGTGTGAGCATGACGTGCACTTTCATGTCTCACCGGGGACATGCGTTTGGGCTTCTTTGCACTGAATTAGGCCTTTTCTTCCTTGCTCGCACCGCGCAATGCGCGCATAATGACCGCGTGCAACATGGCAGGGATCCTGACTCTTGCGCTTGTCCTTTTTCACCCCGTTTTACAGTGGATCCCTGTCTGCTTTCTCCAGCTAACACATTCTCCCTCTACTAGCTTTCTTTGACGCATTTCTGCGAGGTGCATGGTCCTACCTCGATCATCTGCTCGCAGGTCCTACCGTTCCCCTGTTCACAATGCTATCCCGACAAATCTGATTGCTCTCCCGACGATACCCCTGCCACTTCTCACGACACCGTTTCATCTCACGGCCTGCAGAGCCGCACGAATAACAAATCTACCCCAAATAAACCCTCAGAAAAGAATAACGACTCCTCCGAGAGGTCTCCCAGAATAGAAGACCATCCCTATTTCCTGAAAGGCCAGGCCACGCCGGCTGATACTCAACAAAGACTCAACTTTCTTGGTGGCGCAGACGGCGACACGTGCGCCAGTTGCAGCTTGACTCTACCTGAAGATGTGAGCAAGCAGCTGCCCCCAGGTGCGCCAGGAACGGCCCGAAGTGACGGCAAGGGGAGGAACGGCAGTCCTGTTCTACGATCTAGAGAGGTCGTCTACTCTTGTGGGACCAGTCACGCCGACCACGATGATACCACACACGACCCGCATGTCCATGCTTCATACCCGGACTCTCTTCATTCGGCCTCTGTTACATCGGACGCCTCCTGTCATACACACATCCTCACCTATCTTTCATTGCGCGGACCCCCCAACCCGGCTGATTACGCGCTTCTGCGACGCTCCTCCATTCGAACACTGAGTTGCGAACTCTTGCCCCGCGGTCTTTCCTCGGGCCCGATATGTTTTGGCGATTCTTCTGCAGGCTATACCATAGCTTACATCTTTCGCCTGCCCGACCCCATGGCTCGCGGGAAACGGCGTAGCTATGCCCTTGTCGCATTGGCAGGCAAAGACGCCGGTCGAGCATTCCGTGCCTGCCCTGTGATTTGGCGCGCATTCGGTCGCATTGCCACGGGCATTGTCAACTCAGCGGAGAAATACCAGGAAGAAGAAAAGCGTCGCGATGAACAAAACAACGCATTGAATAGACGCGGGAGCAAACAGTATACCCCTGTTTCGTCCTTCCTCACAGGGCGCGCTCTTGATCCGGACGGACAGCTTCGTCGACCCGGTCAAGTTCGAGCGAGAAACCTTTCGGAAATCGTGGGAAACCAATACATCTTTGCTGAAATACATGCACACTTTGTTGCGCTTCTGCAGCAGTTGGGTACGATGTTTGGAGCCTCGCCCATTTCAGAAGAACGATTCGTGTGCAGCACAGTGCGCGAAGAAGACGCCACTGCTTCACGGAAATCTTCATTAGTTCCTGGTGGCAAGGAGAAGCCGCAGGATAAGCTTTCGCGCCAATACGAGGACAGCGATCTAGGAATGTCCACTTTGGACATCTCCTCGGGGCCCAAGCCGATCCCTATTGCACCTCGCCGACCAGTGATCGCATAGCCTGTGAATAATATTTGCGCTACGGCATACCTTAATTGGCTGCATCATCACATTCGGGCCAATCACATTACTTGTTCATTTATTGAAAGCGGAGCATTTCAACCGTCATCCGCGATTCGACTGTCATCATACATGCAGTCAGCAGTCTCATGTGACAATTACAACCCTCACATGATTGACATCATTTCGGCGTTTACTTCCGGTACATGGACAGGACTTGACATAGACTACGGCATGTTTTTTTATTCCCAGAAGGAGGCGGAGTTTCGGCACATTTACAGGAAGCATGGCTTTTTGACTTTATATTCTCCTTCTATTCCCCCAGAGCGTGGGTAGATAAGCGATCTGCGTTTTGATTCTATTCCGCCTCACCCTTTCGATTCTTTCCGACGTGATTCGGACTGTTTTATTACGACTTCTATTAATCGCCAGAAGCGGACGACTTGACGGACGCTTGTTCTCACATGATTGAATGTCATTACGAGGCAACGAAGGATGCACTTGTGAGGCATTTGGCATGACATGCATGTATGTACTTTTATGGAAAGGGACTTACTTTATTGGAACTTAATCAAGTACTGTAACTTGAACCATCAGCACCAATACACAGTAATTGTAGTGTTCTAGACCTCACCGATAAGATAAAAAAAAACCACCGGTGCACCCACCAAGGTCCTTGTATTATAGACAGAAGAACCGCAAGTTCCAAGATAGACTAAAACACTAGCTCGGAAGTCTAAGCTTAAAAGTAATAAAAGCTACCACATAATGTACTAGCTAGTAAGCAACTAACTAACCAACTAACTCAGATACGTACTTACTTCCTACTGTTATCTATCTGCTACTATCTTCCTATCTAACTATCTACAGTAAATCAAATCCACAATTACTCAAGCCGTATCGACCCAAACTTTAAGTGGACGTCTAACTACTATCCGATTCATGTTGATTAGTCTCGGGACATATCGACCAGTGGAATATGTTAGTACACTCACCCCACTTCACATGAACCATGACATACATACATACATGCAGGGGATTACTTTTTATGTGGGTAAGGTCGGCTTTATTTCAGTGGATATAATAAGCAAATCGTGCCACATACATACACACCTACTAGCTATTTAGTTATGAATGCTGGTTGAGCGGATCATTCCCATTCCTATGATTAATCGGTTTGCCATTTCGGATTGAGGCATGTAGAAGACTCTGTATCAGATGGAAGAAGCAATTGATGTGACACTGCAATTGGATGTGGCATATGATATAGTAGTACTTATTCTATAAGTCTAAGTTAGTATTGCTTGCATACATACATAGTAGTACTATGTAAAAATCCGGCTTACTACTTATTACACACAATAGTTACTATATCATACTACCACATCAAACCACAATACTACTATATTAGAGCACTGTTTTTGACAGATTGAAGATTTGGGATAGTTAGTAAGATAGATACTATCTGAATTTTGATGTATCGGATATCCAGAGTGTGAAGCTACTTGGCTCTGATGTAATTGACCGAATGCCGATTGAAACGTGAGATCAGGATATCCTCAAAGCATGTATCATGTGAACTCAGTCAGCTCGTGCATTATCTATTGCTCCCAAATGAACTTTTCACTGTCTAATATATACATGCAAGCAATTTTACAACGCCAATGTAATGCAGGTTACCAATCACCTTCACTATCACTTCCAGGGTATGCCTTCTTCCGCAGCTTCCATAGAGATTTCTCGCGTTGTGCGGCTTCTCGTTGCCTGCGGCTGTTGTCTTCAACCACCGTCATCCAGGGCACTTTGCTCGCGCGCCGGATTCTATCTTTCAGCACTTGCTTCTCGGACTCGAGGGTAGCGTCCTCTGCCGCGGCAGCTCCCTTGTCCTTCTTGAGTTTCTCGATTAGCACCCGATGGCGTTTCTCGGCGGCACGGGCGGCGTAATAGTCCTCGCTGATGGCCCAGTTGGGGTTATCCAAAAGACCACGCACAAGGACGATGCTGTGACCCTGCTCGAGAACGCCACGGAGAGTCGATCCGGTAATGGGAGTAACCAGTTCCAGCTGGTGGGAAGCGACGTTCACGGAGCGGACAAGAGCCAGGCCTAAGCAGTGCGAGACTTTCGGGTCTAGGGGGTTGCTGCTTCCTGCTCCAACGAAGAGGTAAGGAAGGTCCTCGTTTGGTGTCCGGGTGATGCTGGATTCGATGGTCGATGTCCCGACGATAGGAACAGCATCGGCTGAGTCTTGCATGTCGACATCGTGGTCTCCATCTGTTTCGGCGTTGGAGTTGTTCGCGAACATTGGGCCACTGTTCTGGCCTAGAATGGCGTTCGGGGACTCAACAGCAACGACAGCGACGATCGACCCGTCTAGAACCTCATGGAGCAGATCGGGATGGATCTCGGTGCCCATGACCATGATACCCTGGATGCCCTGTTGCGGTCCCGAGTAGTGGACACGGAATGGCTTTGTGCGGGAAAGTGGTTGCTCAAGCCATAGTGAGTTGTCGATGCCGTTTGGACGCGACATATGGAAATACGACTGCATTTGCATTGAGCGGAGCTGTGCGCTCGACCTGCTGACGAAGTCGGTGGGCTGAGATGGGAGGATTGTCAGAGGGATCTTGGCCTGGTAGGCTGCCTGCCCCAGAGGCTGGACAACTTCAGTCGGTCCCTTTTCGCTCATATATACAACGTCGGAGAGACCAAGCGATCTGACCAGCCAGGTGGCAACTTCCAAACCCAAGCCGAAAATCCAGCCGGGGTAGTTGATGATGAGAGGACATTGGGGGTAGCTGGCCTGCAAGGCGCGGTAGCGCTCCATGAGATCCATGGCGGCAAGGACGTAGTGGTCGGGGTCTTCTTTGGGTGATGTAGCTCCAATATGATGGCTTCGAACTATCGTGCCATCACGGGAACCATCCAAAGATGGGTGGGAAAAGGGAGGACCAAAGACAGGTGAACGGAGATGGGCCAGGTAGACTTGACCCATCGGAGCGAATTCTGGCTGACCCGGGTCCAAGTCCAGGAACGCAACCCCATCAGTGTTGTAGTAGTTGGTCTCTGTCTGTGGCGCCGGGCTGAGAAGGTGGTTCAACAGATAGCGACTGAACGTAGACTTTCCTGATCCCTTCGGTCCGCAGATGAGCGTCTTCAGCCGTCCACCACGCTGGGAGAGAGACTTGATAGCAGAGCTCCATTGTTTCTCGAGATGAAGCGGCCGCAGGTGGCGTTTGAGGGAATCATCCGCAGAAGTATATAGCTGTACGGCACTTAGTCACAATACAGACGACCAAAGACAGTCAGGTATAAACTTACCACTGAGAACGTTCTCTTGGTGGACTGAGGAGTGCCCTTGAGAGTGAGCTTGTCCGCTGTAGTATTCTTGCCGTTCCATATCCGCTGATACAGAGGCGAGAGTTCCTTGAGACGATAGATTCCGCTATGGCATGACTTGAACTCCACCTCTGCCTCGCCGTTGACCCCGGAAACGCATTTGATTACAGGCAACGAGTGCGTCGAAGGCGCGTAGACCCGATACACCTGAGATGAGGGGTGCAGCTTCGCTCCCATCAGACTAACCACGCCTCGTTTGACCCAAAGATCGTAGTGACCGATCATCACCAAGCTCTGTAGAACAGTCAGCACTGCGCATATATTCCGGCTGGACATGCATACCATCTTCTCCTTTATGCGGACACACAGCCTATGCTCATCACTGTAGACTATGCTGTTCTTGTTCAAGCGCGCTTTTGACAGGGGGAACTCCTGGACCTGAACCGTAGTATCTGCAGGCGATTCGTACCTAAGAACCATTAGCGCTGGGCCTGAATTGTACTGCAAAGCAACAATTACCCCTCCTCGTCATTCTGAATAGGCTCGAGCCCAATAACACCGGTGTTCTCTACAACGATTTCTGGCTCTTCCGACTCCTCGTCCGAAGGCGCCTGATCCTCGACATCCTTCGACGTGTCATGCTCGGGTACTTTCTTGGAGGCCTTAGGAGGCTGATCGTTGCGCGCCTTCGGCGTGGGCTTCTCAACCTTCGATTGTTCTTCCTTTCGCCTTGATGATCGCCTCGTTTGGACTCGGTTCTCTTCGGTTGCGGCTGGGACGACAGGCTCGTCTAGTGAGCGGCGCGCTCTCTTCGGTGGCGGTTCTACCACTGGTTCAGCGACAGGGGGCTTGACAGCAGCTGCGGTGGCCTGCGCCTGCTGCTGCCGTGCTTTGCGGGCTGCGAAAGCGCTGACCGGGGCTTAAGATGGAATGTCAGCGATAATTCCTGGTACACGGACGCTTGAACTTACCTGCAGCCTGCGCCTTTTCAGCTTTACGCTTCATGATACTGGCAAACAGTTCAATTTGTCCAAAACAGCGACGTTGCGCAAAACCGAGTGCTGGGCGGCGGGACTACCAAAAAGGTGAATATTTGAGGCCGCGGACTTTCAGGTGGTCCGTGCTCCGCGGAGCAGAAAAAAAGGTTATCGCTCAAAAGTTCCGGATCGGCTTCTCCCAACTCGCAGTGACTCGCGCTTTGCGCTATACCCCAGGATTTTCTTCTACGACGTGCTTAACACCCCGCTGGTTCTTTTTGCGGTGATATTATATATCCTAGCGGTACAAATTAGGCACACGTGCGATCACCGGCGCTCCGCATCGCAAGTTCGGAGCTGCTCTCCCCTCGAATTTCCGCATACGAAACGGACCGTCAAGTAGTCACAATGGCACCCAAATCGAACAAGAAAGCTGTGGAGGAACGGGAGCCTACTCCTATGAGCACATCGTCTGCTGGCGAATCTTCTAGCTCCGAGGTTGAGTCGACCCAGAGCGGAAGCGATAGTGACAGCGATTCCAGCACTTCTTCCAACGAGAAGACTTCTACCCAGAAGTAGGTCTTCTCAATTGACTCAAATGAAGGTTATGTCAGTGATTAACGATGTGCTCGCATAGGACCTCCCGTAATGTATCTCTAGCTGCACCCCAACCTTACAAAGCCCCG